TAGTTATTTAAGGTTAAAATTGAACTTATAGTAATTTTTTCGGATTTTTTACTTTGACTGCAAAATTATCATTATTTTTATGAAAATATATTGTATTATTAAAAAACTAAAAATTATTGACAAGAGATTCCGATAAATTAAATTTTTTTTATTACATTAAAAGAATCTGGTACTAGATTTACTCAATTTTAGTACGATTACTTTTTTTACATAATCTTTTTATTTCTGTGAAATTTTACAAAATTTTATACGATTTTATAAAATATTAGGTATACTATAAAAAATTTTCCTTCAGCTGTACTTAATGACGTAGAAATTCTTTTAACAATTATTTTTACGAAAAAATAAATTTTGTACTTACGCATTCGCTCTAAAGTATGATTTAGTACTTTGACCACAGAAGACAGAAGTCGCACTTCACAGATTTCGTGTCGCAAAGTTGAAGTTTGAAGGTCAATCACCTATCATCTGTGGCATCTTTTATATAATAGTGTAGGTATTAGGTATTTATCAAGTTTTATAAACGCCATTTTAGTTACGAGTTTTATTAGGCATGAGCATTAATCGAGTTGCATACTAAGCATACTTTATCTACGACGAACATGAAGAATTTAAAGCCAATTATATTTGTTAAACATTTGACATCTGTCAAATGTCAACGGAATTAACCTCACTTTTCTTTAATATATAATAAAGCTAATTTCAGCCCATGACCAAAATATCCAAAAGCCACTACTAATTGCCAAGTTCAGCCCGTGACTAAAGCGCCATAAAGTTACAGCTCAAAGTAGATAAATACATTTAACTTATTTAAAAAAGGATAATTGGTGTAGCGGAAATGTCTGCATATGACAACGTTTGCGTAAATACGAATTTTATGTCCTAATAGTATATTAAAGTACAAGTTGCAGAAGGCCACATATTCTCGCACGAATTCAAAATTTGGCCTCGAGCGACGAAGGAGCGAGTGGACGAACGAATGAGTGCGAGAATAGCCTTCTGCAACGTGTGATTTATACTATTTTCTCGATTTTAACTTTTATTTAGGTTTTTTTAATTGTTTTGTGGTCGTTGTTAGTTGGGGGATTTTTCTCGCAAAATGTCAGTTTGGCAACACAAAATGACAATATTTGTTATCCTGCACAAGTACAACCTGAACTGCACTTTTTCACATAAAACTTAAAATTTTGCATTAAAATGCATTGTTGGAGCAAACTTAATATTACAAAACAATAATAAAGGCTTCATTTTCAATAAAAGTAATGAATTTGAGGTTATTAAACAGTTTGACATTTTGGGGGGTACCAATACTTAAAAACTAAATGTTACCAAAAATCGTTTAAGAATGAGCTTCATTCTTCAACGATTTTGCGTGCGAGAATATGACATTCTTACATAAAAATCGAGAAAAATAATTCTTAAAAGAATTTCTCGAGAGAAATCCCCTAACTAACAACGACCACAAAACAATTAAAAAAACCTAAATAAAAGTTAAAATCGAGAAAATAGTATAAATCACACGTTGCAGAAGGCTATTCTCGCACTCATTCGTTCGTCCACTCGCTCCTTCGTCGCTCGAGGCCAAATTTCGAATTCGTGCGAGAATATGTGGCCTTCTGCAACTTGTACTTTAATATACTATTCTACGTCATTAGCTGTACTGAAGGAAAACTTTTTATTGTATATTATTTTATAAAATCGTATAAAATTTTGTTGAATTTCACAAAAATAAAAAGATTATGTGAAAAAGTAATCGTACTAAAATTGAGTAAAACTAGTACCATATTCGTTTAATGTAATAGGTGGGTCATTCCACGTTACTCGGGGATTTTTGTCCCGCCCGGGCGCGCCCGTCACAATTAAAAATTGTGAGTAAAAACTACACTTTATAAAATTTATTTAAAAATATTGTTTTATTATGCTTTTAATAAGTTATAAGCACAATAAAAATAATATTATAAAATATTAATTTTATAACTTGTGGTTTTTACTCACAATTTTTAATTGTGACGGGCGGGACAAAAATTACCGAGTAACGTGGAATGCCCCAGGTGTCAATAATTTTCACTTATCTCTTTTCAATAATTTTTATTTTTTCAATAGTACAATAAAATCAAAAATTTTGAAAAATTAACAATTAATTTTTATAAAAATTTATGAAAAAATCATAGAAAACGGCCATTTCAAGCGCGCGAAACGCACGAATTACAAAACTATTTTTATAAAAAAAATTGTAGATTATTTATCATATAATATTTTGGCATCAAAATTGGCAAAAATATTCTTCTTTTATTAGGTTATACATTAAATAAAAAAAAACTCAAGAAATATTTTATGAAAGTAGATATAATTTTAATAATTGAAAGGTGTGGACGGGACAAAAAAAAGATTTATCTTGTCCCGTCCATCCCTGTCAATTATTGAAATTATATCTACTTTAATAAAATATTTCTTGCGATTTTTTTTATTTAATATATACCCTTATAATAGAAGAATTTTTTTGACAATTTTGATGCAAAAATAATATATAATGAATTAGCTACAATTTTTTTTATAAAAACAGATTTGTGATTTGTCCCGTCCATCCGCTTGAAATGGCCGAAAAGCTTTTTTGTACAGGGTTCAATTTCCTATAAAAATATGTGTCTCTTATTGCTGTATATTAACTTGCTCGGGAGAAAAAAATTAAATGTAAAACTTGCCGAAACCACATGTTATTTACATGGGAAATGTATCGTCTTTGTGGCACGGTTTAATATGAATATTTTTTTAAATAATTTTTTGGTCATAAACTAAAAATTTAGGGGCCGCTGCGAACAAAAAACACAAGTTGGTAAATAACGGACACCCTAATGAGCACTCTCCTCGTCAGCACGAAAACACAAATACAAATACAGACACAAGTAAAATCAACAATATGCGATAAAATAAAATGTAAAATACAAATAAAATGCAATAAATGGTAAATAGGAGAGTGTCATAACAAGAAACACCTAAACATGGCCAAAACTCTAACCACCTGAAAGTGTCTCGCGGGATAATAATATAAAGAGATTTTTATCATAATATAATATAATAATATATATTATATAGTAACGTTAGACATTATCAAATAAATAAATAATGTTTTTATTGCATATTGAGTACCTATATAAAACAATAAAATACAAAATATACAAAAGGCCATCGACCGGGGTCCTTCAGCCTGTTACACCATACTTTAAGTGATATACAAAAAAGGTTAATTATTGTTATTAGACAATTGTAGGATTATTTCCAATATTGTTTTTTCCGGGAATTTGGTGGAATTTTCATCGACTTCTCTGGTGATGCATAATTTTGTTAGTATCTCGATGTTGTGATCTTTAGCAGCAAACTTAGTTGAAAGATTTTTTAATCTTTCAAGAATTGGAACTTTTTGTTTTAATTTTTGATAAAGAAGGCCATTGGGAGGGTTGTGAAGAGGGTTTAGGGGGTGGCGGAGTTTGGAGATCGTTCTTAGGGCTGTTGTTTCCGCAGTTGCAATATTATTTAGGGCTGGTTTTCGACAGTTTAATAAAACTGGGTGGCAGTATTCCAGAAGAGGGCGGCAAATGGCTTTGTACATGGTGGTTTTCATATTTATTCCTCCCCATCTGTTGGTTAGTCCTGTAAAAAGTTTGTCCCTTGCGACTGTTTTTTGTTTTGCCGTTTTGGTATGGAGATTAAAATTAAGTATGTTGTCCAGCTGCAGGCCCAGGTATGTAGTGTTGTTTACGGGTGAAATGCGTTGATTGTATAATATCAAATATGGACTCAAATATTCCAAATAAAGCGCTTAGATAAGCAGTTTAAATCAAAGTCTCTATCCAGAATCTATTAAAAGGCTAAACGATACTATTACCTTACCACAATATTACCTAATGGCAATATCAAATTTAATAATAATAATAAAAGTATTTTTTAAACCTTACCCAAGTAATACCAATATTATAATAATAATATAATTCTTAAAAGCTTTAGCCTGAGTACAAATGCAAAGAGTTAAAATAAATAAATACCTTAATATCGAGAAGATACACTGAGTTCCATAAAAAATAAAATACATGTCAGTTAAATAAAAAGTTATACAAAAGGAAACAACACAACAAAGGTCAGTTTAACTCAAAATAAAGACAATACAAAATATTAAAATAAATGTAATTCAGTGATGAACGCGACAACAAAGCAGAAAATAGGTAACAATCACAATAACTATAGCTATATTATAATACATATCTCACAAACTTTTTAACAGGAGTCTATCGGAGGGCGATCAAGAACTCTCTGCCTCTTTCTTCCCTCATTCTATGTCTTTAAACATCTCGGCCACTTAAGCAAGAATCTCAGACATAAACCATTCCCCTTAATATTTCTACGTTCCAATACAAAGAAAGAAGTAAAATTTTTAAAATTTAAAAGGTTCTTTGAACATAAAATAACTTAAAACTATAATATTATTTTTAGTAGATTATTTAAATTATTTTTGGTTAAAATAGCGCCAACTTTGATTTGTTTGTTGTCCGATTAGCGTTAAATGATCCATTTTTAAAAAAGTGCTTGGTGGCACCCCTTAATATTAATATTATATAATATGGTTTAAAAATTTGTCACAATTATTTTTAACAATTAACAATATAATTTATTTAAGACATATATAATTTTAAATTTTGTCACAAATTTTACTACTCATTACGTAAGTAAGTAAAAGTCAAAGGAGTCAACCCAGAATTCCATAAATCCGCGGATCTCGCGAGAAAAACACGTGCAAAGATTTCTGTCACAAAAAAAGTAGTTTTTGTCACAGAAAATCTTTGCGCGCGTTTTCCTCGGAGGATTTATGTAATTCTGGGTTGACTCCCTTGGCTTTTAATACAACGATTTTAAAACGTCTATTAGTAATATGTTGATGATATTGCTTTAAACATAACTATTTGCATTTATTTTTGTAAATGTTATTACATGTTATGTAATTTTTTTAGGCTCCAGTATTACCGTCACCATCTACATTACAGTACAATTCAAGACCAGCTCCTAAAAGACCAGTAGCAGGTCGTCCGCGTGGCCGTCCACCTTTACCAAAGGTACCAGGACAAGTCAAAACTCCAAGGGGTAAAAGCCCTATCGCAGCTAGCTACAAATCCATGTATGAACGCAATGTTGCCATTGAGTACATGAAACAATATCAAGAACTTATTAACAAATACAGCAAAAATATGACGCTTCCACAACTACAACATTTTAGTCAGCTACTTACGCAAAGTTCTTTGCCTAATCCACTTGGTATAACTTCAGGTCTAAGCAATCAATTTATGTCCAACATGGCAAATCTTATGAACCCTGCGAGCTTAGCTGGTCTAATGGGAGCAGGAGATTTAACACAAAGCCAACTAATGAGTAGCTTTAATCAATTAAGCCCCACTACAAATAAGAAAAGTAAAGATAAAGTCGCAACTACAACTTCTTCTAATGTGATAAATGATCAATTGAAATACTTATCCAAGAAAATGCAGTCTAATGTCAATAAACCCACTAGCTCTAAGAAAAAAGAAAAAAATACTATGAGTATTGAACAGTTGAAATATTTAAACAGTTTCCAGAATATTGGAAATAAGCCAAATACTAGCATAAATACAGCTGATATTAGTATGGCAAGTGGTACTACCAATATTAAAAGTAATATTCAACATACTATTACACAAACAAGTAGCACCAAACTAAGTGTAACCCTAAACACGTCCACTGCTTCTAAAATAAGTTCTCCCAGTATGTCCAGCAGTAAACTAAGTGTTCAGCCTACAAGTACCTATCAAAAGTCAAAATCCTCCAGTAGTCATGAAAGTGGGAAGATATCCGTTGCTGGATTTGCAAGTTGTAGCAAATTTAACACAACTTCTTCAAGCTCCATGCCCAAATATAAAGTTTTAAGTACTTTATCTAATGTAATGCCCAAAGCAAAAATGAGTACTACCACAACAAAATCTTCCTATAAGTATCCCTCAGCAGAGACACATTTACTAATGCAAAGTAGTTTAGGAAAGAGTTCCAATCCTAAAGTATTCAAGGTAAGCATTTTTTATCCGTCTAGTTTTAAATGAGTTTGTCTTATTAGCGATCTTTTGTCTGTAGTACGTCCAAAAATCCCTAATAACACAGTTGGAAGGCAATGAACAGAATAAAAATGTGGCTAAATTTTATTTAAATAAAATCTGGGAATTTGAAATTAACTTAAAATAACATGATTTTGGTAAAACTATGGAACGCCAAAGTATTTTTTAATCGTCAATTAAAAATATCACATTTGAATTTCCGATATCACAAATTCAATTTCTGATATCAAAAATTAATTTGCAATATCGAAAATTAATTTTTGATATCACAAATTAATTTTCGATATTACAAATTAATTTCTGATATAAGAAATTAATTTACGATATCAAAATTTAACAACTTATTAAATAAAAATATATTTTTTCTGATCCATATTATTTGTAATTCTAACAATTAAGAAATAATATTAAAATTTTAAGTTTATTTAAATTATTTATCCGGGTATATAATTAAATTGTAAACATTTTTCAGTTGATAATTTATCTGAATTCTTAAGTAAGCCTAATATTTTTAATTCTAAATAAAACGTTTTGTGACAATTTTCTTATACCACATACCAATATATTGATAATGTTTTTAATGAAATCTTTTTTTAATTCGCCAATAAATCGATATTTTTAATTCGAATTATTTGGACAGCCCTAAAAAATTAACAACAGAAAAAAATACATTTTATTTAATAATTCGTATTATTTTTAATTCATACAATTAAGAAATAACATTAAAATTTTAGGTTTCTTTAAATTATTGATCCGGGTATATAATTAAATTGTAAAGATTTTTCAGTTGATATTTCATCTAAATTCTTAAGTACGAATAATATTTTTAATTCTGAAGAAAAAGTTTCGTGACAATTTTGTGATACCATACACAAATATATTGAACATGTTTTTTAATGGAATCTTTTTTTTAATTCCCAAATAAATCGATATTTTTAAATCAAAGTAATATTTTTATTACAATTAAAAACATTAGGCTTACTTAAGAATGCAGATAAATTATCAACTGAAAAATGTTTACAATTTAATTATATACTCGGATAAATAATTGAAATAAATTTAAAATTTTAATGTTTTTTCTTAATCGTTTGAATTACAAATAATATGGATTAGAAAAAATATATTTTTATTTATAAGTTGTTAATTTTTTAAGACATTTTCGATATCAGAAATTAATTTACGATATCGAAAATTAATTTGTGATATCAAAAATTTATTTTCGATATCGCAAATTAATTTTTGATATCAGAAATTGAATTTGTGATATCAGAAATTGAATTTATAATATCGGAAATTCAAATGTGATATTTTTAATTGACGATTAAAAAAAGCTTTGGTATTATTAAAATACAAATTAAAGAAAAATCATGATAGTGCCTTTTTTAGAATTGGGAAATCTATATTTTATAATGAAACCCCGTTTCCTTAATTGCCGCGGCATGGCGTATAAATTTAAAAGGTGCAATTTTTTAAAAAAGTTTTACGGCTATATATTAAAATTAATGTTTTTGTCCCATGAAACTATTTTTAAATGCCATATTTTAACAAAATCGCATGAGGGGTTTTAAATTTATAATTATAAAAAGACTTCAAAATTTTATCTTCAAGACAAGTTTTTGTAAATATCTGTATAAAGAAGGGTCAATGATTACGCTTTACTAGTTAAATTCAAATTAATTCAATCCAATCTTATCATTCTTTAGTAATTTTAAAACTTTGATTTTTATTAAATAAATTTGATTTTTTTAAGCGAACGCTATTGCACTTAAAATTAAACGCACTGAATATATTTTTGTAACATTTTTGCTTATTTAATTTAAATTATTAAATTAAGTATTATCAATTGTTTTAGGAACCATCTGCTTCACATAAAAATATAGCACAACAATCCTCCCAAAAATATCCAATAGCTTCTTCTCCAAAAAGCGCCCCAACCTCTTTAGAAAATCCCAGTGTTTTTTTAAAAGAACGCCCTAGTATATCAATTACACCAGTAACAACAACCATTTCAACAACTGCAGCACCTTTTCTACAAACCAGCCCTGGGAAAACTTTACAAGAAAAACTAGCTGACAAAAAGAAGCAACATACTACCAAATCCATCCCAAAAAATTTAGAACCGTCATTTTCCAAAGAAGCCCTCTCATCTGTTAACCTAATGAAAAATTTTAATCTACCAAACATCCCTGCTTCTTTGTCGGTTTCAAAGTCGATGGTGTCCACGACCCAAATGCAACCGCACATGTCCAACTCATTGTCTACGAGCGGAGTGGCAAATTTACCCTCCGCTCTTTCTGTGAGCAACATACCATCCTCGCTGTCATTGAGCGGTATTTCCAATTTGCCTTCTTCTTTGTCGATGAGCAGTGCCTATATGGGTTTGGCAGGTCAAATGCCCATGCCAAAATACCAGGATCCCATATTACAACATACAATGCCGGGGTCGATGTCTTCGATTTCACAACAAATTCCCACAACGAAGTATCCGGGAGGACATGGTTCTCAAAAGGATCAGGTAATTTATTTTTAATAATAATTTTAATCACTGATAGGCGCAGATATTCTTTTATAAAAAAATATATCAAAATTTAAATATAACTAAAATTTAATTTAAAACATTGTAACACAATAACAAATCTAATAATATTTTAACCTAGAATCAGAAATCAACACAATCCACAAGAAAACCATACATTTGGAATCCTTCATTCTAGAATATCCGCTATGTAAGTCATCAAGACCTGGGTTATTCCACGGAAAACGCTACTTTTTGTCCCACTTTCTACAATTAAAAACCACTCTGAAAACAGCTTAATTAAAAAAAATATATTTACTTTATTTTACTTCGTTAGTATTTTAATTGTGATGGTTGGGACAGTTGTCCGTGAAATGACACATCTTTTACTAGATCAATTTTGAACAGTATTGAGTAATTTAAAGTAGAATTTTTAGTGGTAGAATAAACAATGCATGAATGTAAGCATTTTTATTGATAAAAGTCGAACATTCTTGTAATTTAGGTAAATAACACTGGCCGACAGCCATTTTGGTGCAGGGTAGACAATTATTTTGCTCAATCAGCTTTTGTTTGTGCGATGTAGACAAAAACTATTTTTTTTATTTGCGCACATTCAAATGCTTAAATATATTTTTTTAAACTTCTAATTTAAGCAAGAATAGTTGGTTATGTTGCTATGGGTCTTTATTAAACTAAAAAAAAAAAATACCATATACATTGATAATTTTGATATTTTTAAAATTCAAAGTGATACAGCATGATCAATTTTTGCCCGATTTAAATAATTTACCCTATTTGTAGCTCTATTTATCTACTTTATTTTGATAAAATTCAATGCAATCAAATAAAAATTGGCAACATGGCAATAAAATCAACCAAAATTGGGTACTACGTGTACCACTTAAATAAACTCCGTGAATAGCTATTAATATTCACAGAGCCTATTTAAGTGGACAATTTTTGTGCCTAGGATTTTAGACCTGATTTTAAGTATGTCTAATAAGAAGATGTCAAAAATATTATTGTTTTTTTCTATTAGTTTTAGTGTATGAGAGTATGAGTTGAGTATCTGCTGCTGCTCTCAATACTCTACTATCATACAATCTGCCGTGCTAAGCTAAACCCCCGTATCTGCAATATTAAATAATAAAGGACAACACATATTTTTTATTGTTTTTAACAATGAAAATGATCTTTTATTTAATATTGCAGTTACGGGGGTTTAGCTTAGCACGGCAGCACTACTCTCATTCAATTTTTGGTTGCATTGAAATTTTAACACTATAAAGTAGATAAATAGAGCTACAAATAGGGTAAATTTTATTTAAATCGGGCAAAAATTGGCTATTTTGGCTAAGAAATCGATTTCCTTTCGATGAAAGCAAGATTTTTAAAGAGAATACCATTATCAATGTATATGGTATTTTTTTAGGCCCATAGCAACATTACCAACTATCCTTGCTTAAATTAGAAATTTAAAAAAATATATTATAAGAATTTGAATGTGCGCATATCGAAAAAAATGGTTTTTTATTCTACATCGCAAAAACAAGAGCTGATTGAGCAATATGATATTCATTTTTGGTTTCAGCGTACCTAAATTACCCTTAAAGAGTTGTTGGTTGCCATGCACAGAAATTTTATTTTTGTCGGCCTGTGTAATATTAAATAATAAAATGTCTCAATTTTATTAATACTAATAATGCTACCTTACATTTTCCCGACAACATTTTTTCGAGAACTCTTTTTCGGACGGACTAGGTATGTTTACGACAAAAAATTACTATAAAATGAAGTAAAACATCCCTAATATAATAATTGGACGGCTTTCTGCAGAATGGGACCAACCCACACCATGATGAAAGGGAGAAAAAAGCTATCAAAGATTTTAATAATTTTAAAATTACCTGTTAATTTTATGCCGATTTTGGACTTACGGAGGTTTAAAGGATATAATTTAATAATTTCATCAGGTGGATTTTGTGATGTTATGTGTAAGGGTGGCGAAAAAAATGGGCTTTTGTTGGTTGGTTCCTTTCTGCAATTTATGAAAACTACTATCTGATGTATGTATGTATTTAAAGAAAAGCGACAATTATTTATTTCCAAACAAAATACAACTGATATTACTATTATAATGGTAATATGAATTAATTTTGATTCTATTTGAAATTCGTTCACATCATCTTCCAACCCCACCTCATCTTGTAAGCTACCAAAAAAATGCATCAAGACTTTATATTTTGCAGAAGCAGGAAATCTTTAAAGACTTTGGTAGTGGGTCTACCAGCCTGCTTTTTTACAAAAAAGATCCAACCCACTTGCAGATACTGTACAGATTCTAATTTTGGATTAGTAATCCACACTATTATTGAATGTTGGTTGGTTCAATGATTAATAGATTTCACTACACTTGCATTTTGGCTATAACCTATTTTGTAGATAAATTATACATACTTAATTAGTTCATAGGCTAAATATCTCGATTTTTTTGGTTTTGTGGGTTGGTTCCTTTCTGCAGAAAGGCTTCCAATTTAATTGTTGTGTACAATTTTTAACAGCTCGGCGAAGAATCAGTTCTGCCAGCATGACCTGAATTGTCGGAAAAGTAATATTCTGGAAAATGGTATCGGGAAAATAGTCTATTGTCTGAAAGTTTGTAGATCACTTCGTAAATCCGCGCGATTCCGTCATTATTTTGATATACCGACATTAAATTGTTTTGTAATGATTTTTAATTATTAAATGGGTCAGCCGATTTACTTTATAAATTACATTATATATTATGTCTTTGGCTGACGAGATATTTATTTGAATTTGTAATTTCATGAACACCGGATTTATACAACATTTTCATAATCATAGTCTTAATTATAATTTTAATCATAGCTCGTAGTCGCAATTTTTAGAATGCATTTTAATATCATAAGCATAAAGAAACATTTTTTTCTTTTTACATATTGTTAATGAGACACCATAATTCATTAAAATTAATTTAATTTAAAAAATTAACACAATATGCAAAATATACACTGCATGACATGTAATATTTTAAATATCTTTTATGCAAGGTTGGTATTTTTTCTGTGCATGAATTATATTATCTTAAGAAGCATTCAATCTGCATAATATACAGGGTGTTGTTAGGGGAATAAATAAAATAAAAAATCGAGGGAATTGACCGGACTAATAAGGAACAATTTCAGTGGGGTACCACTATTTTTTATAAAAATAGCAGAGGACATGCGTGCAGAGACGACACTGGTGAAGCAATATAACAACTTTTGTAACTAAAATATGTACTTTTATATCCTACCAAAATTGGAAATAATATCCAAAGTGCTTTTGGAGATATTAAAAAATAACACTTTAAAAATTACTTTTTCAAAACCCTGTAGCAAAAAAATTAAGCCCTTTAGGGCACATGTCCCCAGGATCAAAAATGCTTTTCTTGGCGTGGCCTACGACCCCTTGATTTTTTACCATTATTTACCTAACACCCTGATATGGGTCCTGTAGAATCAAAAGTAGACGTCTGCCGTTTTAAGCACAAAAATGCCAACTACAATATTAAGTAATACAGTAATTACCACCTTTATGCTTAGCTCGGCGAACACATGTCTGCTTTTTATTCTACAGTAGTAAATGATATTACATTTTGATATTTTTAAAACGCTTTTTATGCTTTTTTATCAAATACAATTCTTTGAACTAAAATGTATTCATTTCTATACGCTATAGTACAAACACAAGTGGGGCGCCGCGGCGCACTTACTGAATTGATTCTGATTTAAGTGCGCCGTGAAAAAGAATCAAACCTGTAAGTGTGCCGCGAACCCCTGATATAATAATATATTATATTTAAAAGTAATAATTAGTGGGGACTAGTTTGTAGGATCACTTTTAATATTTGTAATGTTCATACCTTATCAATATCAATATATTGCTTTAGTTTTAAAATGATTTAATTTTTACTAACATTATACATTAACTTATATGACATAAGACACCAAATAATGATTTTGAAAAAAAAAACAAGCTGCCCAACGAAAACGTGACGGACTAATAATCTCTAATTTTAATATAATATTTAGTGGTTAAAAGTTTAAGAACATTAAAGGTTTTTATTCAAAACATAAAATATGATCGAACTTTGCTTCCTATTTAAAATACAGGGTTTTAAAGAAAACTAATTATTTAAATAGTTTACTATACATTAAAGAGAAAGCATACCCATATTTTATTAACTTTTTTTATTAACTGTTGATAAACTCCCTGATAATATAAACTGGAACACAGGGGCGTAGCTACCGCGGTATCAGCCGTATCAATGATACGGGGCCCCCGGTTAGGGGGGGCCCCGATTGGCTTCGACATGCGTAAGCAAAAAACATATTACCCACATGTTAAAAATTGAGGCATCAAATTAAATGAATAAATAATATTATTTAATTGTTTATTCTTCGATTTATTAAATTAAAATTTTCCTGTTCCAACGAGGCCGTTAACTTATACGAAATGTTTCTGCCCGCACCTTCCGCTATGCTATGCTATGCGCATATTGTTCTGTGCTCTGCGCCGCATACTGAGTCTGCTTTGGGTGTTATTATCATAGGTTATATTAATAGCAAATTAGAAATAATTATTAGCGTTACAATTATTTCAAATGACTTACCTTTAAATAGAAACCTTTTAAAAGATGTTGAAGAACGGTAAATGTCTAACACCAGACCCAATTTTAAAATTTGCCTGTACATAAAAAGCTATGTATACCTGGGTGAATTTATTGAGATGTCCCCCAAGTGAAAATAATTATTTTTTATTTTTGGTTGTTTCACTGTTAGCTAGAATGGGGTTTTTGGGAAGCCACCAGGTCTAGTAATAACATAACATAAGTGGTTCTGCACTAATGCAAGAATTTTAAGAAATCATACATTTTGAATATTAGAGCTTCACGAAAGATAGTTTCACGGAGTTTAGGATTTCGTTTTTTTAAACCTTTGTAAATTTGAAATAAGTTATTGTATCTTTTGACACCTTCATATTTTTTAAAAATACAATTGTACGTATGTACAGGGTGATCCCCTATAATGTCGCCCCCCTTTAACTTTTTTATTTTCAGTGTCCCAAAAAATTTAAAAGTGTGGTTATGTAGATATTAAAAAATACTTTTTTTCTACGTATAAAGAAAATTGGAAAATTGATCAGTATACAGGGGAAAACAAAAAGTTTATTTTTTTTTCAATGGATCACCCTATATATGTATTTATTTTTCGATTCCTTGTAAAATTCTAAGCATATTTCATATAACATACCATATACCTAAATTCAACCGTTTCTGAAATATTTAAATTATTTTTAAGATAATAATTTGAAATAGTTTGTCTTTCTCTGTCTGAGTACGCCATTTTTACTTATTTAACAAGACATATTGACATAATGTCACTATAGTAATTTATTTTTAATAAAAATTTTGGTATACTAACGCTTCTTGATTTCTAAAAGTTAAAAGAAACATTTAATGATAACATTTCGAATGCGAATATTTCAGAAACGGTTGAGATTAGGTATATGGTTTGTTATATGAATTATGCTCAGAATTTTACAAGGAACCGAAAAATAAATTCATATATAAGGTGATCCATTGAAAAAAAAATTTCCCTGTATATTGATCAATTTTCCATTTTTTTTATACATAGAAAAAAAGGATTTTTTAGTACCTACATAATCACACTTTTAAATTTTTTGGTACACTTAAAATAAAAAAGTTAAAGGGGGGCGACATTATAGGGGATCACCTTGTACATAAAATATTTATAAAAAAATCTACTTACTGAGATATTACACTTCACGGTGGATAGGTTTTTAAATAGCAAATTATTGAACTTCTGAATTATAAAACAGCAACACTCTCATCTGCATATAAATTCTAACTGACCTTCAGGAATAACATGCATCTATAATGTCATAAACATAGGTTTTTGCTTATTTAAAATGATTAAAGCGCCATCCGTTGCATAAAATTTAAAGCAAAAACAGATTTACGGATAATAGAATCAATTTTTGTAACACCTACATACCTAAATGGTTATAAAAATTATTTCTTTTAATTTTTAATAATATTTTATATTTGATTCGATTGCTTTGGATATGTTTAATTTACTTTCTATTTTTAGTATGCTTTTACTACCTTATTTAAAAACATATAGGTTAACCTAGAAAGAGTAACAGTCACGGCGGATAGGTTTTGTAAAAAATAATTAATTGCGGTTAAAAATCTGGAACCTGAGCTGTAATATCTACTTAATTATGAAAGATCAAAACACAATAAAAGTGTAAGTCAAACTCATTTGGATTTATTAAATATCACGGGGTAACACCATCGGGGGACATTTCATGAGATTCACCCACCTAAAAAATTTTGCCAGCACCTTTTCCGGTATAAGGGCCCCTACCAGATTTTTGATACGGGGCCCCCTCAAGGCTAGCTAGGCCTCTGCTGGAACACCTTATATATTAACCTTTACTGTTCTAATTTGATTATTATTCTGCCAATTACACTGTGAAATAAATTTTCATCAAAAAACTATTATAGTTTTTTTTGTGGAAAATAATAATAGTCGGGGCAAGACCTTTTTCATTTACTATATTTATAAAAACAACAAAAATGGAATCTGTGCGATCTCAAGGGATTTAAATTTCCTGAAATTGTAAATTTTCATTCATTCTAGAAATAAAAAAAACACGTGCGTGCCACAAACGCAATTATATACTTATTTTGGGATTTTGATTGATTAGTATTGGCATTTGCCAGAAGCAAAGGGGCGGAGCTTACTGCATCAAAACTGATAGCGTTTTGTTAGCAATTTTTTTAACTTTTGGAACAAAAACATTAAAAAAGATTCATGAAATCAGATAAAAATTTCAAGATTAATTTTGTTTTATAAACATTAATTGTTTATAGCTTCATTATACCGAAAATAGTGTTCAAGCGGTTTCTTAAGACAAAAATAGTAAGAAAACTTTCTATAAACATTGGTCGGCAAATGGCTCCTAAGAAAGCTACAGCCTTTTGAAGAGGTGCCCCTGAAGATGTTTTTCTATTATTTCCGAAACTGTTTAAGATAAAACAATGATGCTCACTTAACTTTTTATGCTCAATTTAAAAATAACAACAAAATTTAAAATTCTTATTTAAAAGCATATTAAACAAGGGCGGCCTAGGGTATTTTTAGCCCCAACTTTTTTGTGTGCATTTTTTTAAAGTCGAATAATATAAAAGTTTTCTACATAAAAAAGGTTCTCTTTTTAAACATTGATTATATCCCCCATGTTTGAATGAAAGTAAAACAACAAATTTAAAAAAAGTATCTTTTCTCTTTATCAATTTAATAAATTTAACAAGGAATATGTGGCCGGAAAATACATTATTTTCAACCGTTTCGGAAATAGCAATAAAAAACAGTTTTCAGGGACGCCCCTTTTAGGGGCCGACCTATGTTTATAAAAATATTGGTTTATTGCACACTTTTTTCGGGACACCCTGTATAACGAGCTAATCTCAAAGACAGATTCCCTTTTAGTTGTTTTTACCTCAACTTTAATTTGGTGCTGCACAATGTTATTAAAGGGAATTGGATTTTATAAAATATTAATTAATATTTTACGGGTACCTCACGTTTTATTTGGGCAACTAAAAATGACAAAACACTAATATATTATTTTTAGTTTCCATCAAAACACCACAGTCCATCAAATAAAAGTTCAAGCAGTAAACCTGAAGTAAGAAAAAAGCATTCTGCACACATTAAAAAAAGCCCCCTTAAAGAAAAAATTGATTTGGATCAGCAAACATTAAATCTGATTAAAAATCAATTAGTAAAACAAACAAAAGGGCCAACAAAATCTGAAAGTATTAAGGCTACTAAATTATCCGGTACCGTTGAAATATTTCCCGCCGTTTCAAAAAAACCTGCAATGCCTTTACCACATCAATCAACTTCCAGTAAAAATATATCAGCCACAATCACCAAAATAAACCCATCTGCAAGTGTGCATAAGGTTTCTCCATCAAAACTCGAGGTGTCTAAAATTGTAGAACCAAGTACTAAAGATATATGTTCGAGTATATTAAATCTTAAAGAAGTTCATATATCTAAAGTTTCAAAACCCCAAAGTAGACCTTCTGAACAAGTAGAAAGTAACCAGCTATCTGATGAAGATGTTATTATAATAGATGATTAAATAATTTTAATACGTTTAATTAGCCTTTCATGCACTGTCAATGTTTATCCTTTTTGTACTTTGTATCCAGTAGGTATATTAGGCTGAAATATTTTATAAATTGTATAATAAATATTATTTTACCTTTATTTAAATAAACTATAATAAGTATTTGGTGTTTTAATCTGATATTATTTATTTATTATTGTAACCCATATTTATTTATTATTGTTATTACTATATTTATACAAATGTACGTGTCATAACCAGTAATGGGTTCTTCTGGTTTATTTACATCAATAAAAAAAATTAACTTTTGTGATGCGAAAAATTTAGAGTATGTATTATATACATAGTAGGAACAGTGATGGGCACGTAGCCGGTATATACTAGTGCTGTCAAAAGTTAAAATTTTTCCCGGTTAACCGGTCATGGAATATTAACCGGTTAAGTAAATAACCGGTTACTGAATATGTTGCATAACCGGTCATTAATCGATCATGGTCACGGTTAAATGGTCATTATTAACCAGTTGACCATGACCATTTAACCGTGGTCATGATCGATTAATATTTATAAACGAATTTAATTAATATAATTAATCGATCATGGTCTAAATAAAATAAAACACCACAAATACAAAAATCATCAAAAGATCATGAGAATTGGAGTAAAGCAATGGGGAACAACAATAAAACATTTAAAGAAGTAATTATAATTGTTTAATACATGCTCAAACGTTTATTTTAAATTATTGTGTTTTGTTTACTTTATCTTTAGTTTATTTAAGGTTCATACATAATTCATGTTATGCACCCATTCAACAAAAATATTACAAAAGATCGCTACTATCTGAAATGCATTCGAATGATTCGTCTCTGTAAAAGTCTGCCGTCAGCGAAATCTCTGTTTACTCTACCGGGTGCAACACCATTTACATCTGGGACTTCTTCATAGACGAGGTCAGCGTACATTCCTAGGTCTAGGTCTTCTTCATCGTCGTCGTCATCGGGCTCCGGTACATTGAAGGTAGGGTTGCCAACTGTCCAGAATTTGGGTGGACGTCCACCTTTTCGGCTCATTTGTCCAGCGTCCAGTCAATACCTTTGGTTGGACGTAAAATGTTCATAATTTTCACGTTGGCACATTTTTCAATTTTTTCGAAGGATTTTTTCCACAATCCGACAACGTTGTACCAGCAATGCCTCGTGCCGCCAGAATTTAAATATTCGTGCCTGCCTCGTGCGCGCTCGACTTTTTCCGTAGGCGTTGCGTGAAAGGCTGAAACCATGCTTCTTTTCTTTCTCACTCACACTCCTTTCTTACACATAAGGCAGGAGGTAATAATCCAGTCCTGTCTTATAAGTAACTTACGACTGTTGTCTTAAGATAATTATCGATTTGTTTAATTAATCGTTTGATTGTGACAATTAACGTGCGGAATACTGCGGAACTGCTGCTGCTGACCTATTTAGTTTTCTTAAAAGGTAAGACTATTTTTTGTATAATTTATTAGAACGTTTTGTATTAGTTGTTTGGTATAATTTTAGAATAAAATAGGACAGTACCTACTTATAACTATAGTTACTATGTCATTCACAACGTTGCAACGTGGATCATCCAACTACTCTCATGCAACTGAAATTAAAACCGTAAGCATGTAGGACGGGGATTCACCCTAAACCGGTACAGAAGCGCGCAGAGAAAATCTTTACCTACCGATCGGTCGACCGATTAACCATATGACCAGATAATAACCATAACCGGTTAATCGGTTACCGATTAACTGGTAACCGGTAACCGATTGACCGATAACCGATTATGGTTATACCCTCATTTTCCGGTTATAATAAAATTATGACCGGTTAACCGGTTAATCGATAATCGTTGACAGCACTAGTATATACCCGATTTATATAAATACCCAAGGTAAGAACTATATATGTACTATGTACCAGTGGTGAGCACTATTGTAAACTTTAAACCATCAACTATCGAAAGTGGTCACCACTGGTACATAGTACATACCTTGGGAATTTATCAAAATTTTTACAAATCGGGTATATACCGGGTACGTGCCCATCACTGAGTAGTAACACTTTGTAGTTTAATTACATACTATGTAATCATAATTACAACGAAGAGTTTCGCAAACATTTTTTTTACGAAACGCGATAATTTTGGAGGGTACACAAATTATTTTTTTTCTGGCCGAAAAAAAAAGAAATTTTTCTTTACGAAGGAGCTATTGTAATCAATCCCCATCACGACATCGTGGTCACCGCAACGGCACTTCAAAAAATTATATATTTATATAAAATCATTTATCACAGGGTCTTAATAAGTGTCTTCTGCATTTAAAGAAGCCTCGAGGACGTCGATTTAATGTGGCCTACGCGCGGAAGACAGCGATCGATACGCGCTTCTCATCCTACTCCGTGACGAACTGAAAGGCACGACTTTCCCAGGACGTAGGCCGTATTCAATCACTTTAGTAACAATAAAGTTAAAATTATAGACCAAAGATAAAATTTAAATTCTTTTCTTGGGTGGATAAATTTAAATAAAATAAATTTTTAGCTATAAATAACTATATTTTTTCATGGTCATAAACCTTAAAAAACCACAATTCTATTTAATAAATTACAATATGTTTACTATATTATTGATAAATACTACAAAACACACACTAAAAAATAATGTATCTCATATATAAAATCTGCCAGAAATTCTTTAAACTACAGCTTATTGGAGAGAAATAGCAATGTAACAATATGTTTATAAAAACTAAATATAATTAAAGCTTTCAGCAATTAAACATTTTTATGTTAATAAATAAACACAATGGAGTGAAATGGAATTCATACAGGGTGGTCCAACGAGTTATTTCTTTTCAACCTACATTGATAAATATCGTGCAAATTAAAATTTTGTCGAAATCTACAACGTACAATAGTGGTAGCCGAATTGTTGTTGCAATAAAATCCGAGCACAAAACAAACGCTCCTCTGCCAGCATGGTGATTAAAATTCCCCGAATCGAACTACTGTTTAAGACACACTTCGCATTTCAAGGTCTACTAACAAATTTTGTACAGGGCCACGAAAAAGAAATAATTTATTTGACCAGCCTGTATATTACTTAATTTTAGTTAGTTTATGAATATATATCATAGATTTATGTTAAAAGAGGTCTGGATAAGTGTTAATATATTTATATTTATTAGAGAAATATTTGTATATAAATTAAATTAAATACTGGTTCTTAATATAAGTACTACAAACGAGGGGGTATGAAGTGCACGTTTTGTTAGAGTGCTCGTTCGTCCAAATTTTATAAACCGACTGCGACAAAAAGCATGCGTTGGAAGGATAATTTATCCTGCTACCTTTTTGTTGTAGTAAATAACGCTAAGCTACGGCCTAAAAACCGAAGCTACTTTTTCGACGTTTTAAAATTTGAGGGGCAATGTAGTACACCATTTTCCGGATGCAGGAACATTTCAGCAAATATCAGTCATATTTGCTGAAATCTGTTCGGTCTTGGCTTTTGTGGAATATATCTGACTTTACGGCCCAGAAGAGGCAAGATTGGATTACCGGAATGGAAATATTCTTGTATTTCTCGATAATATTTCTATGATATTCCATTGTTCCTTTTATAAAAGAAAGAAGTAATTTATATAAAATATACTAGGCTTTTGGCCACCAAGAAAGACGAAGACGAAACAAATATGACCGATTATGACGCTAACTGTGCACGAATGTGCAAAATATAGCGTCCCAACTCAAAAAGAGCGATGTACAAAGCCACCGCGAATAAACTGTCGACTCACATGACTAAACGTACGAGCACGGTTGGTTAATTTTTGGTTTTAAAACTTGGTAACCTGAGTACAATCATAATTTTTGCGTTCTTGGTGATCGTACACGTGCGACTTTCCTAGGGGTAAACCACTGATTTTTTAAAATTAAAAATCGCTTACGAACTAACGGCTAAGGATAACAATCCCAAGGGTAGTCATGCGCAACGTGTCGCTAAGAGAAATTTGTTATTGATAAGGATTTTTCCTTATTGATAACGACTGATAATTGTTATAACGTTGAACGTTGGTCTCGCTGATTTTAAAGTGGTTTACCCCTCGCGACTTTCTTAAAGCTTAAAGCTCTTGAATACTAATACATATACTATACATATTTGCAACGTTCGCGAATGTTTTGCGCGGTACACTGCAAATGAAAAAATATTGGCCGTATTTAAGTTTTATGCACCTGAATATGGTTCTATTTAAGATTAAGCTTTTATATTCGAAGCTCATGTGTCCGAATACTTTGCTGCTCTTATACTTGGTGGATGTTTTTACCTTCATAGTCATTAAATATTTTGTGATCTGGTATAGGTAATTCAAGGTGCTGAATACGAATTAATTTCTCAATACCTCTCTGAAGTATTCACAGTCAAAGTTGATGTATGTTCTAATTTCTACACCTAAGTTAAGCGTTTAAATCTCGTGCTGATGAATATTATTAATTCTAAGTTACGTCAACGTTTTAACCGCATAGTCTTTAAATATTTTGTGATGAATAGGAGAATTCGATGTAGGAAATTCAAGGTGCTGAATACTTCTCAACGGGTTAAGTTTTTCTACCCTGAAATATTTGCAGTCAAAGTTGGTGTATGTTCTGATTTCTACACCTAAGTCAAGCATACAAATCTAGTGCTGATAAATGTTATTTATTTTGTCTTACGTGGAGGCATTTGGGTTATGTAAAAATAAATATTGTATGCTCTATACTTGAATCGAGTATTCAAATTCGAGGATTAAGAGGAAGAGAACGTTTCAAGATGAAGAGTACAATGTTTTTTTATAATAATTTTGTTGAAAATACATTAATAATCGTAATGTGATCACAAGAAATGCAATAACCAGTAAAAAAATTAGTTGTTATAATATATTCACTTTGCATTTTACAAAAAATAATAAAAATTTGTACAGATATTTATTCGAACTCATGTAATACATTGCTACCGGGTTGCATATAAAAAATTGTCAGCAATTACCTTTAATTAATGTTTATTGTAATAAATTGTTGTCAATCCATTCCAACTATATGAGCGAGCCTTCATTTTTATTAGGAACCCTTATAGCTCAGTTGAAAGAGCGCTTGGTTAGCATGCGAGAGGTACCGGGATGGATACCCAGCCACTACCGGGATGGCGGCTGGTGGAAAAATATTTTTTTATTTCAATAAAATAAATAATAAAAATTTAAAATCGAATAAAATCTGTAATATTTGGATTTTTTAAATAAAATTTTAAATTTGTCGATAAATTATAGTAGATAATAAATTGCACCACTTTAATTTGAATTATCTCAAATATTTAATATTTAATGTCATTATAAACTATTATAAATTTGGTGTGGGTCCCATGTCTAATAATTAATACCCAAAATCCACCAGCCGCCAGCACCGCTGGCAGCGCCTGCATATAACTTTTTTTTCCATGAATTGTTGCTAGAAGCATTTACGTGCTCAATACCATCAACAGGCATTCATTCATCACAACGTTGAATAAAGCCTATACTTCTCACAAGGGTTCAAATCTTCAATTAAATGCAAAGTGCTTTGAATACGGTCAATATTGTTTCATTTGCTGTGTATTGTGCTGCGGTCTGGACGGGTCTCAAAAATATCAAAATATGTCGGGAAAGATTGCGATCAGCTTTATATTAAATGATAAAGTATCAATAAACATTACATATTGTCCATACATATTGTACGGACCTGCGTAAGGTGTCCGTTTTTTCAGCGCATTCCGGTTCCTGTGAGACTAGGACGGCCATTTACGTTTAGTCTTGGTAGCTGATTTTGGCTACTTTTTAGGTGATTTTGTCGGACTTTTTCTCGTTTTTTCTTCTTTGCCACCTTTTTGTCAAATGCACTACATTGCCCCGGAATCTCGATAAACATCATAATTGTGGAACAAACATGCAAAAACCGATAAATCCATTATACCATTTTAAGAGAATAGTACCGATTCTTACTTATTTTGGTAAAGTCTTTTGACATTATTTTAAGTAAAAACCGAAACATATAGAGCCCAACAGGAGCAAACATGGTTTTTAAATATTTGTGGGACTCTGCTGTACACATTTTTGGCCAATATCTCAGAATAAGTTCAAATGGATTTATCAGCTTTTCCATGTTTGCTCCACAATTATGACCAAAACAACACCAGATTCGTAATCAGCAAAAAATTTCACTTGAGAAAACACTTAGGTATATTCTTTTAATTAAAATTCATGTTTTTTACAAAAAAATGTATTACTTTCAAAACGAATGTTTTACAAATAAAGAAATAACTTTACATTTAAGCTCGGTAAACAATTGTCGCAGTATTTATTTTAGGCTTTAGTTGCTACAGCTCTTCTACTGGTCATTCATGTTTATAAAATATGTATTTATCCATTTTACCTCTTAAAATGTTATTTATTTATTTGCGCTGAAGTAATCCACACCAAGAAACCCCAACATTGTTATTATTTTTAAAGCACAATTGTATTTTTTAAGGAAGTGTCTTGGTTTGTCAACCAATATGTCTATGTTTAATAGGAAAATAAAATAAAATTTAATATTAATTTTGACAAAGCTTATCCAAAACAGCTTTTAATTTAATAAATCAAGTACACTGTTGTCTTAATAATAATACAAGTATTTAAAAAATCTATTTCCATTTAATAGAACCTGTTAACATAAATTTTGATAATATATCATGGTAATAATAATAATAATAATAGTAATAGTAATAAATATTATTATTATTAATTACAATAATCTGCTTTAAAATATCTTTTGTGGCTCTCTTTACAAATTCTTTGTTGAAACATCATTACATTGCCTTGTTCATTAAAAGTCTTCAACCAAAAATATAGTTTTTTAAAATTGTGTTAAATTCACAACAAATATGTATAAATTATTCAAGATACCTATATATTTGTTAATAAGTGCAAACAAAATAGTGTAGGTAACTTTTGACAAAAAATAAAAAGTTTGTACTTAAGATTAACTTCGGTAAAAGTAAAAAAAAATCACAGAAGGAAAAATAAAAATATCACAATAATAAGAGTAACAACTAAAATTATAATAGCTGTCCATTGACGGCGGTCTAGAAAATATAATTAAAGTAAATGTATTTATATTGTAAATAGAAAATGTAGATCTTACCATTTGACATCCTTAAAACTTTGGCAACCTTTTTCATTGTAGAATCTAATTTAGAGTCTGTATTTTCTAGTTCAGTGCCAAATTCATCAAGCATTCTAAAAAAAACAGTACCTATAACAGACTTTTGTAATAACCCAAATTTTTTTGTACAAAATTGGAAAACCCTAGGGGGAAGTCAAATACACAGGGGCGGATCCAGAAAAATGTTTCGGGGGTTATATTTATGCATTAGGGTGGTTCACAGATAAAAAAAGTTCTTGTATCTTGCCTCTACTTAGTTCATTTTTCAGTGTGATTATGAAATAATATTCGTACCAATAGAGGAACAGGAAAGGCTAAGGCTCAAGCATGCGTTGATGCAGCTAAGAAATGTAAAGTTGAATTGTTTATTAAAGGCATTTTATTTGATACGACAGCAAGTAATACTGGTCTTCACATTGGAGCTTTAAAAAAATTCTTGAACGTGAATTGAACGTTGATTATGTCATTGAACTTTTACTTTTGGCAGCTTTTTCATGCTCGTTCGGCTTTGATGATCCATAAGCGGGACCATTCAACCGCTCTCAGAAAGCACAACCAACTAGTTATTAAACTGTTTATAGCGCAGCTGATATTGGCATGTTTTAAAATCTTTTATTTCTTGGAGGATAAAATGATGCTTGATGGCCATTTCTGTCCTAAAGATATACCGTTACCAAAATTAGTTTTCTTTAACAACTGGAGGGACAAATAATTCGAATATAAAGCTCTATTTATGAGCTTGGTTTATGTGAAATATTGGAATCAAGCTCCACTTAAAAATAAAGCATCCTATAATTATATTCAGCTCTAAGATATCCTAAAAAAATTCCTGGTTTCTTTGCATTTTTTGATGAGTGCGCTCTTACCCATTATTTTTTTAGTTTTTGTAGACATGTATATTATATACATTCTATAACTAAAGAAATAATAGTTAAAAATCTAAAGCGTCCAAAATTGTCAGATTGTCCACTTCGCACTGATTAAACTAAGGGAAATGATCTCACAATAGACAATTTTAACCAGGAAGCTTTATTCTCCTTATTATTGAAGCGAGAATCCTTATAAATGCTCGAAAATACTCGATCGATGTTTGAATTTTCCGCCAAAATTAAAAAGCGGGATTATAACATAAACCTGGTTATTTTACAAATGCCAAAAAATTCTCGAAAAGTGCTCAAACGTACTCAAAAGCTCTCGAGCGATTTTAAAAAGTGCTCGATATTTGCATTTCGTTCCATAACTAAAAAGCGGGATTATAACATACCCAACAAATTAGTTAATTTTTTTGTTAACACGCATTTAAAAATGCTCGAGCATTTATTGCATATATCTATAATAGGGTGAGCCAAAAAAACTAACATATCGGATTTATGGGTTAAAATGAACCTACATACCGAGCAAAAAATTTCCCTGCAAGGCAAAATTTTTTGCTCAATTTTAAAAGGTGTCGGTGAGCATTCTAAGTTTTCCATTGAAATAACACGTAAAAAAATCTTTTTTTATTAAAAAGACTATAACTTTTGAACCGTTTGAGATAAAAATTTTTACGTCGCGGATTCTTGTAGAGCATAAAATTTCCCAAAGAATCTATACCAGGATTATTTTTTTTAATTAAAAAATTCGTATGTTTGAAAGCTTTGAAAAGTGTAAAAAATCCCTAAAACTGCAGTTTTACTGATTTTTTACACTTTCCAAAGCTTTCAAACATACGAATTTTTGAATTAAAAAAAATAATCCTGGTATAGATTCTTTGGGAAATTTTATGCTCTACAAGAATCCGCGTAGTAAACAATTTTATCTCAAACGGTTCAAAAGTTATAGTCTTTTTAATGAAAAAAGATTTTTTTACGTGTTATTTCAATGGAAAACTTAAAATGCTCACCGACACCTTTTAAAATTGAGCAAAAATTTTGCCTTGCAGGGAAATTTTTTGCTCGGTATGTAGGTTCATTTTAACCCATAAATCCGATAGGTTAGTTTTTTTGGCTCACCCTAATCTATAACTATAACTAGTTATAGGTATATGATTTATTGACACTTTTAAAGGTGCTTGAGCATCTGCAATATCTAATAATACAATTATAAATTGGAAAAAGGCGGTTCTCAAAATATTTGTATAGTATGTTTTTAAAATGGTGAGTATTCGGCCACTAGGCCACTAGCATTTGACTTTCAACCTGGAGCTGTGAAGGCTGTATTCGCGTACGACAGTTTTGTTAAAAATTATTGCATTTGACATTAAATATCAAAATTTGATATTAAGTATGAGTGTAAGGAACGTATACCTGCCCCATCAGCTTCATTATACACTAGTCTCTAAGATTTATTTATACCCCATTTCGGTTCTCCTAGGTATCCCGAAACTGCACAGCATTATCTGTGTTTGATGGCTAAGTTGTACCCCGGCTGGTAAATCTTCCTTGGGAGATCGTGGACGAGTGTCGATGGTTAAGACCCCTCCCTTAACTTTGTCGCCGGGCCGGGCTATACGCCCGATTAGACTAGTGGAGTTTGTGACAAGGTCGACTGACCCAAAACACTTAACTTAACAATCCGGAACCCCCCTCGACCAGGCATTTAACACCCTCATACAATTGGGGTTCATGAATGGGGCTTGGTTGGTTAATACGCTGTTGGGGCCTAATCATGCTTCTTAAGGTACTTCTTTTTCGTCTGCGTCCGTGTCTCTGCTGAAAATTACTATGCTGAAAATTCGTGAACCGCTATACACAAATTGTTTGCCTCACTGCCGACCACGACGGGTTGCTCGTAATACCACCCTGACTTCGTGGAAAATTCGATTGCTCATTCCAAGCACTCATTTTAAAGAATATTCTGTCGTTATTTACTTGCTGAAAATAGTCTTGTCTAGTTTCGGCTGTTTATATTCTCGCTGTATTTCGGTATTAGTGATACGGCTGTTAATATTATAATGCCACTAGGCAATTTGCTTTCCTGTGATTTATTGCTATTAGGCGAATGTAACTTTAAGTGTTTGAATTTCGCCTGCTTGTTTGTTGCGAAATGTCTTGCAGATATAACTACAGTACTTATCCCTTTTATCTGCCATACTCAAGTCTTAATCGGGAATTATCATTTTTGTCTCCTACCCTGCTCATGTAAGTTTTTTCCAGCTCTTGTTGGGCACTTGGCACATTTTTCACACAGTATTTTCACTTGAAATGCTTATTGAACCTAAGAGGTTTTATGTTTTGATTCTTTAGGTCTCTGACAGTCACTAAGAAATCTCAGACACAACTAATTAAATATCAATATTTGATATTTGACATTAAATTAAATGCTTGTGATCGGTTGTAGTTCCAGCAAAATGGAGCCACGGCCATAAACAGACAGAGTGTCAGTGGCTTAAGTAAGTATTTACCTATAGAGTGGAAATTCAAGGTGTTCCCTTGATTTTTTACATTCATTGTTACAATGAATAGCTCTTACGCATCTCTAGAGGGTCCACGGAGTGGTTTTCCAAAATTAAATAATTTTGTTTTTGCAACTTAAAAAAAAATTCTCTAAAATTTATCATGCGGAAGGAAACCACTGAATCTAATTACACTGAAATTTACAGTTTTACAAAGGGTTGGACTTAAAAATTAAATATTCGATCCAAAAATATTTAGTAACTTATTTATAAACATTTTTTACAGACTATAAAAACAAATGGGTTGTCGCACGGCGCGCGCAGAAAACCCGTAATATTTTTTACGGATAACGCATTGTTACTGGTGCCGCCGGGCCCGTGTGCACAGGGGTTTTTCAAACCCCCTAAAGAGGGTTTTAAACTACAATTTTCACTTGAAATACTGAAAAATAATCTAAAAATACACATAATTTTATGAAATTTCACTTAAACTACTAACCTATAAATATTTTTTTATGAATTATATAAATCTCGTGACGCCCACCCTTGTGACGATGTAAATAACCCCTCCCACGAGTCATGTGTTATGCGTGTAGAAAAAAAAACTACGTTAAAAGTAACATAATTACAATACAAGTTTATTATTAATTGTCAAATTCACTCCGTTATAATTATTTGAAAGTCTCTGCTTTCCTCTTCAATCACTTTTGATTGGTGGCTTGAGTTATGTCCTTATATTTTAGCATACCCTGAATTTACAACTTTTATAGACACCATTCAAAAATAGACGTTTTAAATAGAAAATTTCAAAAATAAAATATGCGGCTTTTTCAGTAGTTTTTGTAAAAATTGAGTTTAAAACTAAAAAACGCTCTAAAAAGCATAAAATAATGTAATTTACTTAACATATTGCACATGGGCTACAACAGTGTCATAAGTAGTAAACCTTTATTCCGAGATAATGACCGTCAAAGCTTTTTGAATAATAAAATTCTCACATATTTGTAAAATTATATTAACTTTCAGTATTTTCTTTGCAAAGGAAGAACCACACTAAGATTTTTAGCCAGTTAAAAATTATATTTTAGAAAATACTCTTTTTGGATAAGAGCTATTTGTACATATGTCTGTGTTGTCAAAGAAGGTGTGCATGAATTTTGCAGATATGTCTGTATTGCTAAAAATGTTTTTGATTATTCATTCTTTTATTATTGATTATTAATATGAGGAACGTATGACTGGCCCCATCGGCAACGCCTTACACTGATTTCAGTTCTGCTACGTATCCCGCCACTGCACAGCATTGTGTTTGGTGGATCCGAATTTTCACCCCGGCTGGTAAATCTCGCCCAGGGTGTCGTGGGCCGGGCCATACGCCTAATTTAGGCTAGTAGAGTGTGGACAAGGATGGAAAAAATTTTGGTTTCTTTTCTGGTCTTATGTGTCCGTGTCTCTGTCCGAGTCGGATTCCGAGCTTGCTGACTATCGATAACATTACACCCCACTGTGCGGTTGTTTATTATTTCGCATATAACGTAACGGTTCTCTTAAATGTGCTTAATAATCTGCAGATGTTTATTTCTTTAGGATGAGTTTTTTTTGCCTCTTGTTTATCTGAACTTGTGATAAATGACTGCTTATGTAAGCCCTTATTTATGCGTTCTTTGGCTATGCTTGCTGTTCTTATGGAAACTGTTGGCG